TGTCTCTCTCACCTTTTACTCACCAGGCCTCACCATCCCTGTCCTATTCTCTCTGGCCAGGTCATCAACAACTACCTGGATGCCAATGAGCCAGTGTCTTTGGAGGCCTGTCTGAGCCACACGCACTTCCGTGACAACCAGAGGAAGGTTGACTATGTGCTCGCCTACCACTACCGAAAACGTGGGGCACACCCTGGCCATGGTTCTCCTGGCCACTCGCTGGCTATCGTCTCCAATGGGGAGATGGGCAAGGATCCCCGTGCTGGGGGCCCTGGTGACATTGAGCTGGGGCCGCTCGATGCCCTGGAGGAGGAGAAGAAGGAGCAGCGGGAGGAGTTTGAGCACAACCTGATGGAGGCTGGGCTGGAGCTCGAGAAGGACGTGGAAGTAAGATCGGGCAGGTGGCAGGGCCGGCAGGGGTGGGATGGTGCCGCAGAGCTGGGCTCCTGCAGATCTCTGCCATCCTGCAGGGAGCCTCGGCTTTGTTCTGCAGGGGCATTGTCTTCTGGTGGGGAAAACATATTTTCTTGCCCAAGGACCTGAGGTAGAGTCTTGGTATTGCGAGTGCCTCTGCCTAGGGGATTCTGGATAGTGGGGGTGGGCAGTGGGGTACCAGTATGTTCTGTGGCAGTTGGCTAATCAGAAATCGAAGACAAAACCTTTCTTTCTGGCTTCTTCAAGGCCCATCCTGTGGCCCCCTCCATAATGGTTTCCTTGAGGTGAAGACTGAGTTTAGATCAAAATTCCTATGCAGGGGATCTAGTTCACTAAGGAATGTGCTTGCCTAGGGCTTCTTGTGGAGCTGATTATTTGGGCATTGAATTAGAATATACATCAGACATGTTTGATCAACTTGTGAGCTGTATATTCCTTCAGCCCTGATTAGTGGTTAGACTAAGGGAATCTCTGGAAATCCATTTGTCTGTCCATCTGTCCATCCATCCATCCATTGTCCATCCATGCATCCATGCATCCATCCATTTATTCATTTACTTATCTGTCCATTTCTTCTCCTCAGTGATTCTTTAAAAATGACCTGATCTCTGCCATCTTCTCCAAACTCATTTCTTGTCCCTCTCATCCTCCCACACCATGCTACAGCCCACTGGCCTTACCTTGTTTGTGGGTCACTCTCACCCCAGGGCTTTAGTGCTGGTTGCCCCTCTGCCTAAGGCATTCTTCCCCAGACCTGTGCATACTCACTCCCTCACTTTAGACCTCTGCTCAAATGTTACCTCCTACCATAAGTCTTCCCTGACCATTCTAGCTACAATATCCCCACCCCTGTCACTCTCTTATCTCTGTATCACTTGGCCCTCTCTTATTTTTCTTCACCACACTTGGCACTGCTACCTGAAATAACGTGATAGATTTATTTATTGTCTGTGCCCCCCGCTAGCTCCATGAAGGCAGGGATCTTGTTTGCTTCCCTGCTCTATGCCCAGCACCCAGGACAGAGCCTGGCACATAGTAGGTGTTCAATAAGGGCTAGTTGAATAAATAGGTTACCTCCCTGAGTCTATAGGATCGTTATGAGTCAGAATTGATGGCAATTGGTTTTCCCTAAGTCTCAGGTTCCACATCTGCAAAATAGTATCTGTTTTGCTGGCTTGTAATGACGGGGTATGTAAAACATTTAGCACAATGTCTGGTGCACAGCAGGTGCTCAATAAATGCTTATTATAATTATTATAAAAGGTGTTATGCCGAGGATTGGAGTATTATTCTCATTAGGGACTTGCTTTGTAAAATTTAAGTTAATACTTTCCCCAAACTGGAAGGGACCACACAGGCCACTCATCTATCCCTCTGTCCTCAGGCAGGATGACAAATGGCCTGGCTCACACCCTTGTTGTGCTGTCCATCTAGACCCTTAAGGCAGGAGAAGCTCCTCCAGTTATTCTTCCCACCAAGGTGGAGAGACTATACTCTTTTAGGACTACTTTTTGAAACCCAAATTCACTTGATCCTGTGATTAGGGTCTGGTGGGAAGATCTCTTCAAGGTACGGGTGTGTTCTGAATTTCACACAAGGAGCTCTTGGCATTTAACACTGTGGGTGACTGCAGTTCTCACTCCTGTCTCTGGTTCTCAGGGAACAGAGGCTTGGACTTGTTCAGCTGCTCATCAGGAAATAGTATATGTTATGTTGAAGCGGGTGAGCTCCGGAATCCAACTACATATGTTCACATCCCAGCCCTACCATCTACTAGCCGCAGGACATTGGGCAAGCTCATCTGTTTCCTTGCCTGTAAAATGGAAATAACAGTACATTGTTCACTGGGTTGTTTTGAAGATGAAACCACACAACCTATATGAAGTACCTAGAATAGTAACACTAAGGTTGTATACAACCTTATGTAAGGTTGCCAGATTTAGCAAATAAAAATATAGGACGCCTGGTTAAATTTGAATTTTAAATCAACAGCGAGTAATTTTTTAATATAAGTATGTCCCACGCAATATAAGGGACATACTTACACTAAAAAAAAAAATTCACTGTTGATCTGAAATTCAAATTTACCTGTCCTGGCAACCCTCGGTACTGTTTCTAGCATTGCTGCCCATCTTTGCTGCCCTCCAGCTTGTTTCACTTTGGTTGCTATTGGATTTTCTGGGCTTTGGCTACAAGGAATTAGGAGGGCACAGAGATGGCTCTTGGGACTGACCAGTGTTAGATGGGGAGATGGGGGTGTGGAGTGTGTCCTGTCAACCTTCCGTCATCAGAACCTCCACCACTCGTTTAGCTGTCCAGACCTACTGTTGTGTGGTGTTCACACTCCCTCTCACTTTTCTAGAGTTTGAGATCTCTGATGCAAAGAGTTGAGTTAATCATGCTTCTCAGTTCATGGCACATTATTATTACTGGTCTGCACAAGAACCCTTTGTTTGTTGTAGTTGTGTGCCATTGAGTCGATTCCAACTCATAGCGACCCTATAGGACAGAGTAGAACTGCCCCAGTAGGGTTTCCGAGGAGTGACTGGTGGATTCGAACTGCCATCCTTTTGGTTAGCAGCCATAGCTCTTAACCACTGAGCCACTAGGGCTCTCCAATGCCCTCCCCCTCCATAGGCAATGTGTTGTGTTTCTGGAAAATGTATAGTACTGTTTTTGGCTGTATGTATTTTTTTTTCATTTTTAAATAGACTTTATTGATTAGAACAGTTTTAGACTGAGAAAAATTGAGAAGATACTACAGAGAGTTCTCATGCACCCTGAACCCATTATTGACATATTAGCATGACACATTTGTTGCAATTAATGAACCAGTATTGATGCATGATTAACTAAAATCCATACTTTATTCAGAATTCTTTAGTTTTTAACCTAATGTTCTTTATCTGCTCCAATACCCTATCCAGTACACTGCTTTTACACTTAATTGTCAGTCCTTCAGCTCCTCATGGCTGTGACAGTCTCTCAGAGCTGTGTGCATTTTTAATTTACATAAAAGAAATTGTGCCTGATAGCCCATTCTGTTTCTTACCTTTTTCTTCTCAGCACTGTAGTTTTCAGACCGTTTATGTGCTATACGTACGTTGAATCCATTAATTCTAATGGATGAGGAGTTTGCAGCCACCAATTTACCTAGTCACTCCCCTTATAATGGACACCCAGGTTGCCTCCACCTCTGTGCCACCCCAAACAAGGTTGAGAATGAATTACCTTCTCCTCTGGGACTGACATTCCATGGTCTTCTCTGTCTGTTTCCTCCGGCCCACCTCACCACCTATGCCATGTAGGTGCTAAACAGTGGTTGGAGGTTCACCAGCTGGATCTCCTGTGAGTGTCCTCCTGGAGGCCTGTTGGGGTCTGAACAACTCTGCTCTGTGTCAGGATACTTAGCCTCTGGCCTCCAGCACCTGGAACTGACATTTTACAGGAGAGGGTACATCACCTGACTGCACCTGGTGGCAGTTAAGAGAGCAGGTGTGGTGGGTCCACCTGCCCAACTGCCCCCACGCTTCTAGTCTGGACTGCCTTTTAGGCTCTGGCTTTGCTTTGTCTTTAAGATAAATGGAGAGGAAATGAGTTTCTATTAGAGGCCCAGTGAAAATTATTCACTTAGCCTTACCGATCAAAAGAACTTTTTGCATCCACCAAACTCTGATTGAATATCTTAGAATTCATTTCCGATCCTGGTTGATATCTGGGCATGCTTTTGACAGGATTATAATTGGCATGTACCTTCCATTTGGTATTCAATTTTTTACTTTAAGTGCATATTTCCAAGTTTTGAAATTGCCCATGTTCATATTTGATAGACTATGCAGTATTTTATTGATGACTATACAATAGTTTGCCTATATGTTTTCTCTGTTTGACCATTTGATTAGGATTTCATTTAGAGACATCCCTGGGGATGCTTATGGGTGACAGACCGTCACTGCTGGTTCACATGAATGAGGGCCTCCTGTTTGAAGAGGCGAAGGTTGATTTAAGCAGTTCAGGAAACTCACCCAGACTTGAGCCTCCAGAGTTAGTTTCCACTTGTCCTGATGGGGCTGTAGAGGGGCTTAGCTGAACAAGGCCTCCTGTGATATGTCTCTGCCCACCTCCTCCCACTCTCTCCCAAACTCTCTGCCTTGGCCCAAAAAGCCAGCAGCACAGAGACAGAGACTGAGATGCCGGGGTGCCACCAGGAGTGCATCTGGGGTAGGAGTGGGGAGGAAGAGTACTTGGCGGGCTTGGAGGCCATGTTTATGGACTTTCGTCTACCCTGCAGGCCCTGAAATCCCAGCAAACATGGCCCAGAACTTCATCTCTGTGGGCATCTAGATCTTCCAATCTAGGAGTAGAGGAGGGAGCAGGGACAGGGAGATCAGGTGCCTCCTTGCTCAGAACTAGCTTCCCTGGGGTGAGGGCACCAGATAACTGAGATCAGGAGCTGGTTTTATCCAGTGTGATCTGCCAACTCCAGTAGGTGCATGGGCTGTTTTCGGTAGAGTCAGGCATGGAAGGGTCAGATTACCCATGGGGAGACCCCAGAGGCCCATGTTTCATTCAGGAGGTAGTGCTCTCCTCCTGGACCTGGTGTCAGGTGGGAACCTAAGAATGACCAGAATCCTCTCTATGCAGAGAGGAGACCTGCTCCCCAAGCCATAAGATGTTCTGATCCCTGACTCTTTACCCGGTAGGTCAGGCAGAGCTGGAAGTCTGATGTCTCAATCCAGGTTCCTGCACCACCAGAGGAATAGGCTAGGGGACATAGGTGCGTGACATCATGACCTCCCAATAGCAGTTTGTGTAGGGCTCATGTAGGGGCGAGAGTTGAAGGCCAGGAAAATCAGAATGTCTTCTCACTTTCTTAGACCCAAAGGTCTCTTGACCTTTGTTACCACCCCCTTTTCCCACCTCCTTTTCAGGAAGAGTTTTTATACATTGGA